AGAGGCTCGTAGCGTGTCCAGTTTCGGCGTGCTGATAGCTCCTCGCACGCATCAGTAATCTTCATGGAATTCGCAAACAGGCCATACGCGAGCTCACGAGACAGATCTTTAGCTGGCTTTGCTTCATCTCCCTTCCCTGAGACGCGCGAGGGCAGATTACGCCCCAGTTGCGAGAGGAAGCCTCTGAGAGAACGCCACAGGTTCGTCGCCTTTTCGTGGCCACGTACAGGAAGCCCGCTACGCTGGACTTCGACACCCGGCTTCACAATCTCCTCCATAAAGTCATGGAAGGATTGCGGATATATCGCGGCCGATGCCATTGTTCTGACCACAATGGCAGCCAACACCGGCATCAGGGACATCATGTTCCCCTCAACAATTCGATTCGTCCGTTGAACAAAAAAAGGTGAACAACAATAATAATGCTCGTCGCGATGATAAGTCACTCACGTGGATTTTTACGCAACCGATGCACTTGCGAAGGCGAGGCCCGAAGGGCCGAGCCGAGCAACGACTGGCCACAGTTGACTCAATGCGGAGGGCACCGAAGGTGTCCGGAGCGCCGACGGCAGGCCAGTTCGTCTGAGTGATTCATGGGTGGTGGAGCGAGGGATGCGCGCGAAGCGCAGACCGACGCGGGGTATGAGTTATGATTTCCGAATTGGAGGAAATTATGCCAATAATGGTGGGGGGACATCCATGCAATAATGGTGCATCTTGCCGTTATGCATAATTGCCTTTCAAGATGTGGTTTTCCTGGCCCGTCCAGTCGTGTTGTGACTAAGTAAGATGGCGCCCAAGTACGCACCAGTCGTGGACGCTGCGGCGCTGCGAGAAGGGGATTCGCCGAAGATGCTGTGGTCCATCATCGGAGCTGGTAAACGGAAAGAACACCATGTGTTTGTGGCGAATTGTATGGATCTCTGTGTCAGTGCTGCTGGTGTTTCTGGTAGCAAATTCGGGGCTATTGCTGCTGAGGTGCCAGGAAGACGTATCGCAACTCAAGAAGAGTGTCGACGCCCTGAGGTAGGGAGATGGGTACATGGGCAGGATGGCAGGCACACACAAAACACATTGCCTTTGTGCACATGTGTTGGTCAGGAATATGCTTCTGCGACATAGAATGCGATCACTCTTCCCTCCCCACCTGCATTCCGGAGACACAAACAACATATTCACGTGCAACATATCACTCCAAGTACCCCATACCCAGTATCTCGACATCTTCCTTCATATGTTGTGGCCAGTCCTCCACCAGCGACGCACGCACAGCGCCGGATCGTCTCTCAAGGGCACAGGGTGCTCACTCGAATCGGCCAATGTGCGCGTCAAGATGGAGCACAAGCACAACAAAAAACAGTGCAGAAAGTATTTTACATGGGGCCTCCACCGTCCTAAGCTGCAAGCAATTCAGGAAGCTCTTCTGCTCAAAAGACATCATCTGTTGGGCGGGACGTGAGAAATGTCAATGAGATTAGTCGCGGTGCATTTCATATGGTGAGGGAATTGAAGGATGTGTCACTGTGATGGTGGGTCGTTTGTGCACGCAATGAGGGAAATTTTCCCCGTTGATACCTTTTTCGATTCTCTTCGTAGACCAATATGTAGATCGACATATGTAGTAGGTCTGCTGGGGGAGAAACTTGCATTAACCGTAACACTCGTCTGTGTGTCCGTGATACTCATACAAATACAGTCCCATCAGCACGCAGAGTCAAACGCTCAAGGGGAGGAGGGATCAATCCCCGCCCCATCAGCACACCCCAGTCCCGCAAACCCTCCCCTCCCTCCCCCACGCAGACAGAAGGTAGTCGCACGCGCGAGGGCGATAGACAAGCGAGAGCCAATCCATCCAGACACATGATGATGATGGTAGTAGGTCTGCTTGACTGATGGATGACAGAGGTTGAATGGACGAGTGGGTGTAGGGCTTTATTCTGTCTGGCTTTTCAAACTGAGATGTGTATGTACTAGAGGAGCCTGCCATTAGTGTCTTAGGTCCGTGCATACCCTACGGCACGTGCTTCTTTATGTGTTGCCTCATCAGCCAGGTCGAGGACACTGGTTTGAAATAATTTCGCATGATAACGCCATCGTCAATCAGTTAACCTTGGTCACGTTGATGTGTCTACGCAAAGCACTCAGCCTCCTCTTCGCTGCGGTCTTATTGATAGTTTTTCTCAGAAGACGCCTCACGGCGGGAACGGGGCCCCCCTTGCGCCGAATTACGACCAGGGACGATTCTCACACGAGCGAACGTTTGCTCGATGATGGCGCCGTCGTATTCCGCTCGGAAAGTCGTGAACTCAGCCGCGGACCAACGAATGGCACTGTCTTAGTATTGACCATCGTCAAGGATGGCCAGTCCTGGGGATCCCAGCGGAGCTTTCACGACTACCTGAAGCTCATCTCTAACCTCGGAGTCAACAAGGCAGATTTGTCTCTGGGGCTCTTGATCAGCGATGCAAATGAACACCGGGACATCAAGCAGATTCTTGACTCTTCCAACGAGGATTTCCGGCGTCTGTGCATCATCCGAGAGCCAGAGACATTCCGTAAGATGGAGGGCGAGAGACGGGATCGGCACAACGAGGATATACAGCGACCTCGGCGCAAGCTTCTTGCCCGGATTAGGAACTATCTGGTGACGACGGCGCTCCATGATGAGGCCAACGTGCTGTGGATCGATGCAGACATGATCAAGATACCTGATAATCTTCTGCCGACGATGATCAAGTCAGGTCACCCCATTTTGGTGCCGTCCACGTTTATTGGCGACCTGTATTACGACCGGTAGGCACGGACGAATCATCCAAGTGTGGATATACGTAGCGTTGCTGTGTGTTACTTCCCCCTAGGAACACATGGGTGGGTCCCCGCACGGAGCCAACAAAAGAACAGCTGCTTCGCCTTCGGGAAGGGGACAGCGCTGCTTTCATTCCAGAGCAGGCCCCTGGGAACATGTATCTCGACCAATTTAAAGACAGAGAGGAGGATTTTGTTCCTATAGACGCCGTTGGCGGAACAGTTCTCTTCGTCAAGGCGACGCTGCATCGCCAAGGAGTCTTATTTCCCCCCTATCATGTGATCGGCGCGGACTGGGGTGGTGAAGGATACGACGGAGTAGAGACCGAGGGACTGTGTTATGTCGCTGCGACAATTGGCGCTGCTTGTCACGGGATGACACACTTCGATGCGATACATTCAGCGGATTAGGGCCTTCGATGCACTATGAACTGACATGTCTTTTGTACGTGGACTTTCGATATATATAGAAATATAGGTGAATACATGTGTGAGTATACGTGTACCTAGTCGTGCACCTACTTTTTGAACAATTCAAGCTGCACACCTATACATCAAATTGAATTGTGTGCACCTGGCAATGTTCTCACATCAAATGTCTCTGTATCCACAAGACGCCTGCACCACGAGCACTGCCAATGGTGAATTGCGAGTGTCGAATTCCCACCGAAAAACGCTCATCATCTCGCAGTACTTTTGACAGAAGCTTGCCCTTTTGGGCCCAGAATTGATCAACCGGCAAATGAAAGTCCTCTCCTTGGCATTGTTTTTTCAGGAGATTTATGTGATACGGCAATATCCAAACACTCCCGAGTGCCGGTTCGCTTCGTAGAGCCTCGTGTACCATGGACGTTATCTCCCGGGGGCCGCCGGTTGTGACAGGATCACGGTTGGCTCCGAACATAAATTCAAGCTGAACACCTATACAGGAATGATTTGTTTGGAGAGCAGCGGAATTGGCCCTGGAGAGCTCAGTTGCGTCTCGGAGCAAGTCGGCTCAAAATGTCGTCAACACATCCTTTGACAGCGCCTCCTGCACCATCCACTGCCGTGAAGGCTGTAAGGCCGCTCGCCTTGCGCGTGAACGGCTCACCCTTTGGTCCTCCTTCGTGGACTCCTTTCCATGCGCGTTCCCAGTCGGGTAAGGAGCAACATGCACGGTGGTTACTAAGGACAGGGTTTCTTTCTTCGCATTCTGTGGCTTTGGTGGACACGCTCGGCTTGGCGCTTCGCGCCTGCCTTCGCAGTCGCGTCGTCGCGAATACCCGACGCAGATGTCTGTTCGCGATCGGCTGTCGTGTCTCGTGTAAGATTCATTCATCGGTTGGTCCATAACATAGCGCGGTGACGGGAGTCCCCCAGTCCCTCATGAATGTGCGCGGAGACAAAGCAGCAGCTCACGATTCCGATGACACAACGGCAATGACTGAAAGACATTGACCCCTCGCGAGGGGGGTGGAGGGAGCAGCTAAGCGAGCGGCCAGAAATGTGTTGGTGTGTCGTACGTAATGCCGGGGCAATATTCATTGTGCGTAAGCAGATTTTTGTAGTCATATTGTACGTAGTATGGCTCCCCGTCTGTGCCCCGTCTTCGGCCCATAGATATGCGATCGCGAAGGCAAGGGACAAAGCGCTGAACCGAGCACCGATTAGCCACAGATTGACCCAATGCGGAGGGCACCGAAGGTGTCCGGAGCGCGGCAGGCAGGCCAGTTCGTCTGAGCGATTCATGGGTGGTGGAGCGAGGGATGCGCGAAGCGCAGACCGACGCAGAGCGACAGTCGGTCTCCCCTCCCCGCCTCCCCCCCGCGTGACGAAAGCCACACGGAAGTCTCCCCATACACACACTGACTCAACACTCAACACTGGACACTCGTTCTCAGGATTCTGCAATCGCGCCGCACGTCGCTCAATGTCGGTCAATCTCGCGCTTCAACCAACCAACTAACCAACCAACCAATCTACCGGTGGCGGTTCACAAAATTTACGTCTCGTACGAAAGCTCGCCGGGGGTGTTTTTTTCTCCTGGTCCGGGGAAACAGAAAAGTGAGCAGAAAGACCTTGAGCGAAGAACAGATGGGGAGCAATATGCCTATGTGTGCCGCTGTTGGTCTTCTAGCACCCTCGCCATGGCTCCTCCGGACAACAACAGGACGTCCACTTCAAGGTCGCTCGCAGCCGCGTCCGGAGAGAGCCTGGGGGCAATGAACATTCCACTGGGGCCTCCCAACAAGGGCGGAAAATCCGGGACAACTGACAAAACATCGGAGGGGAGGAGAATGATTCGACACACGCTCAACCCCATCATCAAACTGCTGTCCCCATCGCCCTCCACATCATGCAGGCAACACGAAACACCTGCATGGATCCATGGGGAGTGAACGTGTGCTATACACTGTGTCACGGCAGGCGCATTCTCTACCCTATGTCGCTGAGATTTCGCAAGGAAGACCTGGAGACGACCTATGCGCAGCACGTGCAGGTAGGTGCGGGTGGGTGACGGGCAGCAGCCAGAGGGCAACAACCACCATATGTGCCATTTGAGTGGTTCCATACACACACGGCTCGGCTTTGCAGCGTCAAGCTGCCAAGAATCTGTGGTGGTCGTTGCTGCTCCTTGTGGGGTGCATTGCCCTCGAGTATTCTGCCACAGCACTTCTGACAGAAGGGTTCCGCCCCAAGCACAAGCCATCCCACTTGGCCTACACTATAGGCGTCTTCACCATCGTGTTATCCGGCGTGTTCGTGAGCGGGATGTCCGCTGTCAAGGGATTCTACGCCTACATAGAGGTGAGGAGAGTGACCATATGTGCAAGCAGGCCAGCTAAGCGTGCAACGATAGACCTGTTGCTCACCAGTTGATCATATCTCTCGGCGGGTCGCTGTTGTGCGGTATCCTGGTGTTTCTGGTGGACCACTGGCGGGTGGCTCGGCTGCTCGAGGACATCTCACCCAACACCATATGGAAGAGGTATGCAATGCCAGCCAAGGCGGACTGGTGGCTGAGGGGCGTCTTTGTATTTGTGTCTGTTCGTCTCGAGTAGGGATTACTTTTCCGATGGTCCCTTGCTGTTGGGTCTGATGTCCATTCTGCTATCGATCTGCATCTACCTGCCAGTCAGGTCCATATGCCTATGGCCCGTCTCTATGAGGTACATATCGACGTGTATGGGCAATCCCGCACAGATACCAACGGGAGAGCACATGTGTTGCCTCATCTTCGTCTGGACGTTCAGCTCGATTTTGTGCTATGCGTTTGCTACGTTCGTGTTCAATTCGCCTGACGGCAACCGTCCGGCGGTGCTGAACGTGCTGCTGCTGATACTGCTCAACCACCTGGCGTTTGCAGGCCGCCGGGCACTCGAGGCTCAGCAGCGGCTGCAGTTCCACGAGGTCTACCAGGCGGGGTTCAAAATCAAATCACTTGAACAGCAGGTAGACAACTAGAGAGGGAAGGAGCGAGGGACGCAGCAACCAGCATGAAGCGTCACTTAAACACATGCGACGTCTCTCTCTCTCCCCTTCGCGGCCATGGTCAGATTCAGCAGGTGAACCAGCGCCCACCCACCACACTCGAGAGCCTCTTCGACTCACTCAAGGACGCAACCAAGAGAATGGACTACGTCAGAACACTCCTACATGTGAGTCGGCGACAGGAGACGGCCCGCTGGCTGGCGGTACGGGTGAACAAAGGAATGGCTGAACCTGTGTGTTGTGAGCAGGATGACTACCCCGACTTGGCGGCTCAGTTGGAGAGCGGGATAGCTGAGGTAAAGGAGTCCATCCTGCACCTCACCAGGATCGACACGCTGCTGCAAGTCAATGTCAACGCCATCATCGGTCACAAATAATGCACTTGATGAGATTGACACACTGCCACCCTCAGTACGCACCCTACTTACTCGCTTATGCCTCTACGTCTGTCTGTGCGTCTGGGCAGAGCGGCGGACGTCGAGTGTGTCGGTCAACGACACCACCAAGAAGTTCATCAAGGAGAACTTTATGCGGGGCAGGACGGAGTCACCCCTCCCGGCAAAAGGCAAAGTATCCAGAAGACCTACCAAGATCAGGTTCATACACATATCATGGGCGCGTGGCCACATACGTGTGTTGCATGTGTCTAGATTTTCGGTGATGATGGCTCCCCGAGCAGCTCATGACGGTCACGAGAGCACCCGCGCCCTGTGTGAGGGCCTGGGCACCGAGTGGAACTTCAACATGCTGCAGCTCAACGAAGCCACGGCCAATAACGCTCTGGTACGAATGGACTCGCTCACTTACTCACTCACTAGGGCTGAGGCAGAAACAGGGTGACTCTGTTGGGCGTTGTAGGTGACGGTGGGTATATACGTATTGGAGCCGTTCGTGTCATCTTCGCTGCGATGCGCGCAGCAGGTGGTGGTCAACTTCCTGTCGGAGATACAGAGGAGATACAAAGCACAGCCCTACCACAACGCTGCACACGGTACATCCACATCCATGCCTACGGCGGGACGTCTCTTTCCCCCCCGCATGTCTATCTGTCTGTGTATAGGTGCCGATGTGTGCCACAGCACGCTGTTTCTCGTTCAGCATCTGTGCGTCTTCGATAAGATTGACGAGGTGGATCAGCTGGCCGTCATCGTAGCCGCACTCGCACACGATGTCGGACACCCTGCCAGGAGCAACGCATTCCAGGTTACCAAAGCCACATACACATACCGCTGCCCACAAATCGAAGCGAGGAAGCGCCGCCTCTTGAGCGTGTGTTGTCAGATAGCTATTGGGAGTGACTTGGCGGTGCGTTACAACGACATGTCTGTGCTGGAAAACTTCCACTCGGCACAGACATTCGAGGTCCGTCCATGCAGTCCCGCGGCAGCTGCATCCTGTCCCTCTTGTGCTGTGCTGTGCTGTGTTGTGTTGTGTTGTGTTGTCGTGTGTGGGTCAGGTTCTGAGGACGGATGACTGCAACATCATGCAAGGGCGCGAACCTGAGGAGTGGAGAGCATTCCGGTGGGCGCGGTACACACCGATACAATACACGCGCTCTGTTGATGAGTGGTTATTGAGTGAGTGGTGTGATGTTGATTGACTTGCATCAGCTCTGCAGTCATCGACATGATCCTAGAGACCGACATGAACAAGCACTTTGAGTCCATATCGAAATTCAAGGTATGTCGGCTACCTCCGCCGCTGCGTGAGCCCATGCATGCACCCGCCATGCATGTTGTGGTCAGGTCCGGATCCAGAATGATGATTTCGACATTGTGACAAGGAGTGAGGACCGTTTCCTGACGGCCAAGATGTGTGTCAAAGCGGCGGACATCGGGCACTCCACCAAGGAGTGGAACCTCCACTACGCCTGGTCGCAAAAGGTCACCGAGGAGTTCTTCGAACAGGTCAACACAAACATCACCTTACCCACCGGACTCTGTCCGTCTGTCTGTCTGTGTCTGGAGCCATGTGTTACGCACCTGTGGGATGCGCATGTGGGTGTGTAGGGCGACGAGGAGCTTGCTCGTGGGCTGCCGGTATCGCCCCTGTGCGATCGGTCCAAGATGGACGAAGTGCCCAAATCGCAAAGCGGGTTCCTGCAGGTGCGCAGAGAACAAGATGCTGTCTCTCCCCTTGACCTTGCTCGTCTTGTGGTTGCTTGTTTGTGTGTCAGTACGTGTGCCTGGACATATTTCAGCATCTGGCCTACGTGGAGGAGAAGGTCAAGATGAGCGACTACATGGAGCGCCTCACCCACCACATGACCCACCACAACGGCGCCACCCACCCGGTCTCCGCCCAGCACTCTAACGTCTCACACCACTCAGAGGCAGACGAACACCACCCCGGAAGAACGCAGCCCGCCGACAAACATACACCCGCTGCGCCTTCAGGGCCTGCGCAGGGCCCCGCTGCTCACAAAGGGACCACTGGGGCCCCATCATCGAAGCACAGGCGGTCCCAGGGTGACGGGAGCAAGAAGAGGCAGCGGCACCTGCTGCACTCATGGGGCGGCCGCACCGCCACCAATCAGCTGCAGCTGGAGCCATCGAGGGAACGAAGCATTGGCCTGACCTCATCGCCCGTGTCGGAGGCTGGCCGCACCGACGCGGACCCCGTGGGGCACTCATCTAATGCTCACCATGGCGGTGGTGTCTCTTCATCGTGTCATGATTTGCCGGATGCCCCGCCCGCACCGACCTTTGAGGTGCACCGGTGCTGCGTGGAGCAGCTACTGGAGAACAAGATGGAGTGGCAAAGACGGGCTGACGACACCGAGCACAAGAGAAAACATACCGAAGGGGTCAGCACTGCATGCACGTGTCGAATCCATGCACACACCCACAATTGGTGAGGTTTGGTATCCTGTGCAGGCGGTTGGTCGCAGGGTGCTATTCAAGGGTGTGGGCGGGCGGGCGGAGGGTGCGGATGAGGTGCCTCCTCCGCTCGACGGCCGTTCCCTCTTGCCGTCACTGGCCGATGAGGAGCCCCTGCCACCCCAGAGTGACCTGACGACGTCTCCCCCACCCACATCCCCGCCGCTCTTCAGCGACCACACCGACCCGCCCGCCAGGACACTATCTCCGATGTCCCTGGATGCAGACGGGGCACCTGTGGGCCTCATCTCCCCGGGGTCACCCGACATGGGTGACCCGTCATCCCTGCGGCGGCCGCTGGCGGAGCAGATGAAGAGGGTGGAGGCGGCGCCACCTTCCCTGGCCCCTTCTCGGGCAGGGGGGGCCGTCCGCGTGGACAGTTTGGAAATCGTGGAGAAGGAGGGGCCCCTGTCGTCGACGACACCCACACCCGGGGGGAGCCCCACTAGGCCAGGTGGGGACGGCGGGGAGCTAGAAATCAGATTGACGTTATCCTGAAGAAGAATTCTTCAACCAACGATTGCAATTGCGTGTGGTCGTGAGATATGGGGCGTGCATTTTGGGTAGGGTTAGGGTGGTTAGGGGTCACATCATATATATGCGGACGACTCGACACTTGTTTAGCGACTCGACAACGTTGGCTATAGCTATCATGTTTGTCCTCTGTTTCCGCGCGGTGTCTGTCCGCCGGTCATCCACGCGAAAAGCGTGATCCAATGAATCGCAATAATACCCCAGCGGGAACAGGGAACAAATGCCTAGTTGACGCTGGCACCACTGCCGCGGGAAAGCACCTTGATGTCGTCTGTCTCGGTCATAGTGTGCTGCTTCAACCTCTTGCCTGAACCGCACAGCACCATGTCATGTGCATGCTAGCCACCTCCCTGTCGTGTGTGCCATGAGCGCAGTGCAATGACATGTCATTTTAACACATATATACCGTTTAGGAACCTGAGAAGATAGACCTCCCACTCTTGGGTTGCAGGGTCGCGCACGAGCGTGCCGTAGCCGATACCTGACCGCCATCCGGTGCCTGCATGCATCCATGGGCAAGCAGCCAACGGGCTCGGCTACAGCAGTGGTGTTGGTGCGTCCGCCCGAGTGTTCCCGTCCTCTCCTCCTCTCCTGCTCGGCTCACTCCTCACCGTATACGGCCAGCTTGACGTTCGCCTCAGTGTCCCTGACGCTGCCCGTCCAGAACGGATTGTACCACAAAGACTCGCCCAGCTCCTCCCGCACCTTCGGGTCATTCCTGCATGCATGCACACGGCCAAACGGACACCATGTGTCCTTACTCACGTGTATCAGCCAGCCCGGCATTGACCCACCTGATTCGGTCCCACACGATCCGCACGGGTTCGGGAAAGTCTGTCAGGAGCCTCACCACCATGACCGCACCCGTGCCCAGCAACACGGCCCCTGCGAGACCCACCGAGTTCAGGCACCCTTTCCGCCACCAGGTCATGTTGATGAGGAGTCTGCTGACGACGACACAACACAAGGAGCGGAGCAAGGAGTCTGCTGACCGGGGTGCGCAAGAGGCCTCTCCACCCTTGAACCGCCGTGCCTGAGAAGAAGCAACGCAGGCCGCATATTATTAGGATATTCTTGCGTGCGCACGCCACGGCGCAATCTGGAACAGACACGCAAATCGTTTGCCTGAGTCGTCCGCCTGTAGATCGCCAATCCAGGCATCTCGTTTCCTTCGCTAGTGTACCGGTGATGGTGATGGAGCGTGGTCGTGTGTGGGGCAAGTTTAACTACTCGTTTGACATCCGGCTGGAGGGCGACTACGTCATAGCGGTGGGAGGCACGCCCATCGAGGCTGCAGGAGCAAGCCGCGTTGGCGGCACTGGTGGCGGTGGTGGTGGTGGCGGTGATGGTGGGCACGACATGTATCCGCTGCCACTCAAGTGTGTGTGGCGGCGCCGGCTTGGCAGTACTGCAGTGGTCATGGACGTCACCTCCAACGTCTACCAGCTGTCGGCAGACGACATGGGTGCATGCATACAGGTCGAGGCACAACCTGCGGACGCCGACGACAGGGAATTCCACGGTTCGTGACCAACGAACGGGCGCACAGGGAAATGAAGTGGACGAGCGCATGTGTGCATGCAGGGACTGCCGTTGGCGAGATAGGGCCGTTCGATATCCCCACGTCGACCAAGACAGCAATCCTCAACGCAGTCGGTAGGCACATGCGGGGTGCATGAAACTGTCCGTCCGTCCGTCCGTCCGTCCGTCTGGACAGATTGTCTGTGGGACTGGTGCAGGCCGGGGCGGAACTGTCATGCCGATCATCATCGATAGGCAAGACCTTGCTTGGATTGTTTGTTTGCGAAGACCGCTATGCGCATTGCATGTGGTTCTTGTTTCTGCAGTGAGGCATCGTCGCCGTCTCCTTGCCGTGGAATGCTTAAGTTGCCATGTCGGAGTGATGCTGTGGCAAAGAGACAGATGAGGCAGGTGGGGGCGGGGGCAGGGTCGCCGGGAGGAGGGCCCACGACGACCCTCACGCAGACCAGGAATGCCAGGCTACTGATCGGCAGGGAACACGTTACCGTGCAAACCACTGGTCACACCACACACGGGCCGGCAGACCGCTAGACCAGGACACTCACTGCTTCCAACTCTTCCTCCCGTCTGTCCCGTTGTGCACGTCAGGCTCTGGAGACGGTGAGCACACCACCTTGTACCGTTGTCACTACGATGCGACCAGCCCACAGATCGTTCTGCACCCCAAAGACCCGCGGAAATTCAAGGTCAGAGGCAATCAGTCCGAGACGAGGCTATTCACTCGCCTGCACTTTATGGCAGGCTCAAATGCCTGCCTGCTCTGACCTCTCTGCATCCGTATATGCATCAATTCATGCAGCTCATCATAGCCGTCGTGGCGGGTGACGAGGACGAGATGGGCCCACGCGAGGCATCCAGTGGGCTTGACGTTCAGGACCAAGACCTGTCGTCCGTCACACTCTGCTGCAGATCCCTCTCGAGGAATCATCGAGACCTTATCGCCCTCACCATCCGCTGCTTTCAGGCATCGGTGCATCTCGAGACCAACTGCCTTCTGGAGCGACTTCTGCAGCCAGGCTCCACTCAGCCTGCCAGCGGCGTGGAGCACAAGGCATCAGGCCCGGCACTACCCTCCCATTCGGCCACCAGAGGCAAGCCAACTGCTGGTGTGGATGGTGTCTCTCGCTCCTCGGCATCGTCGGCGTTGGTGGCGCCCTTGGCGACATCGTCATCTCAGTTGTTGTCTGGAATCGACTCCGGCTGGAGGGGGCTGCAGGTGTACGCGACAGGGGCACTGGGAAGGCTTGAGCACCTCGCCAAACGGGACACAGGAGGTAATGGCAACGCGAGCACCGAGGGGAGGAGGGCGGCGGGAGCGGGCGGTGATCATCATGGCGACAGGGCTGATGGGGGGTGGAGCGGGCTGCACCTGCCGTTTGCCTTGCCCTTCGTCACGTCGCCTCTCTTGTCTGCCAGTGGCGCCTCCGGGGCAGCGACAGCATGCGAGCGGCAGCTCGCATTGGTGCGGCAAGAACAGGACCTCGGCATCATCCTCGCCGCTCAAGTCGCCCGACTTCATGCGGTATAATGTGTACCCTGATCGCACAAAAACAGGGGTCGATGGTTCCACTGCTTCACGGTGCTCCCTGCTGTGTAAATGCTGTGCGTGCATCAGGAGCTAGGCAGCGCGGTGGCGTGTAGTTCCGGTGTTCAGGTGAGATTGCGTCAGACGGAACGTGAGAAGGCCCTTCTTGAGGAGGAGATGGAGGCCACCATCGCGGCGTATCAGACACAACTCAGAGACATGAACACGGCAAGGCCAACAGACCAAGACGCTCCCCAGGGCACCCAGACGCCGGGCAGCTTCTCAGTGGGTAAGGGCGACCAATGGAATACCACACTGTCATGTTCTCGGATGGTGTGCCTCGTATTCATCACGAGTCCGCCCTTTGACATCCGTTCAGGTGCGTCCACCCAGACGGATGCCTCGTTACGCCCTCCGGTCGTGTCCACGGTCGTGTCGTCCATAGCGGCTGCGGCCACGCAGACTGAGGGCGGTGAAGGGCAGTCTACCGACAGCAGCCTGCAGCAGGAATTGCGCCGTCTCAAGCAGGACAAGTACGACCAGGCCCAGAAGATCAAGAGCCTGCAGCACTGCCTCGCCATGAGGCAACAGCAGCAGCAGCAACGAACCAACTTAGACAGGCACAGCCAGCCCATTGGGACCAGGCCCCCGCCGAAAGACAGGGCCCAGGTGGCGGATTCCGCGAGTCCTTCCGTGCCCCGACTGCCGCCCACCGCACTGCCGCAGACCAGTGGGGACAACGGGGTGCAGGCACACTGCAACGGCGAGCCGCAGCCACAAGCTAGAAGGGAACAACAAGCAACGCACCCACAGGTGCCTACCCAGCGCGGAGACACTGCGGACACGCGGATGTCTATCTATGTGCCTACTTGTGTCTGCGTGTGTCTATTTGTGTACACCCAGGCTACTGCCTCGCATGGGGACCGTACTGGGTGCGAAGCCAAGGAGGCGTATGAAGACCTTGTGTCTGAGAGGAACCGCCTCACCAAGAAAGTCGAAAGCCTCTCCAAAGGTAGTGGCTGGGTGGCGGTCGCCATGCCACGAGTGGAGTGCGCTGTGGGTTGTGCGTTATGGGTAATGCCATCAGATTTAGAGCGGGTGAGGCACCAGCATGAAGCGGCGCTCGAAAGGCAACTGACGGCTAACACCAGGTACCTAGACAGAAGGGGGCAGACGTGGGACGTATAGCTACCGACCACACCTATCGGATCCGTCTTGCTTTCTCAGGTTGATCGAGGAGAAGGAGCGCATTGAGGCTGAGGCGAAGCAGATATCGAAGCTCTACCAGGTGTCCCCAAAATGGATTCCCATTTGTTCCACAAACCTGTTCTTCCTTTGTATGTATGCCACCCTTCATTCTCAGGACATGATTGAGCAGATGCGTGTGGTCGGGCCAGGGGCCCCACCTGCAGGCCCCGCATCGTCCGCCTCTGATGATGCGACTAGCCTGCCCAGCCCGCACGCAGAGGTAGCCAGCTTTGAGGAGTCGAACAAGGGACCAGACGCGTTGGAAGGCCAGGCAGTAGCAGAAGCGACAGGCACAGCCGGAGCCGTGGGTGTAGGTGAGGCTGGGAGCGGTCAGTCATCGCCCCTTGTGTCAGTGGGCCCGGGCCACCCCGGTCCTGGGCTCGACGGCCGACAGCAGATGCAGCACCTGACCATGACCATCACCAACCTCACCACACAACTCAACAAACTCGAGGTCGACAAACGAATGCACACACAGGGGTGCGCAGTGAGTAAGAGGTGGACGGGTGGATGGCGCGCCTGTTGTCTTCAGGTAGAGAACTCGACTCTCAAGCGACGGTATGTCATCTGCACAATACGTATACAGGCACTGCTCATCCCTCACAAAATCACAGAACGGCCTTGTGATCTGTGCGCAGGCTTAACAAGTTCCTGGCCTCTCCCACCCCCAATCAAGCATCCGATAATAAACAGGGGGATCACATGGGTATCTGAGACAACGTGTTCTCACGGAAAACAGACTCTTTCTCATTGAGACAGACTCGAGAATCGCCATGCAGTGAACGAATGAATGAACGAATGGCTGAATGAACGAGTGAGTGGAGCAGTGAACGAATCTACATCGGACAGGCAGCTATTCTGTGAGCTTTCAACTTTTTTGTGTGATGACGTTCATCTTTGCAATGATGAATGGATGAGTGAATGAGTGATTGACCAATCAATCAGTACACACAGATGGATCAGCTATCTGGGTGTGTGCTGCCATCTGTCTGAGCACACCAGCACACTCACAGATCTAGAGAGAGAGATGAATGAGTCCTTCGTCGCCTGGCCTGGCTCCACACACATGCATGCATCTCTCCCTCCCATTGTACATCGATATCAGCCCTCCACCGCAATTAATTAAAATGACTATCTCCCCCCTCTAGACTGTACTAGCGGCTGACTGGTTTCGTCATTCGCCGGTCCGGCGAAGCCAGCCAACGAGCGTCAGTCCTCCAATTACCTCCCCGTCTGCTTCGCCGGCGGTCAAGCAGACGGAAGAGGTGATGGGTGTTTCTCTACAGGGTGGTCTGCTATATGGGGACCATGTCTGGGTGACGTGAGACGCCCATATGGCCGGCCATCTCGTCGTGGCCAGGCAGGCCAGGATGTGATGCATCATTGACTCGCACTGACGCCTACTGACGCCCCATTGCAAGCTCACTGTCATGACACTGATCATTGAGGCCTCTAAGTGGAGCAGAACGACCACAACGCTGAAGTCCGTTTCCACTTGAGGAAAATCATACAAGGCACGAGAACAAGCGACCCCTTCCAACAGATTAGGCTCCCCCTCCCCCCTTCTTTAGGTTTCAGCTAATCCACGGCTTCAGGCCACTGGCACAGGGTGGCAGGTGCATGTTGGGTGGGTGGGATGGGTAGACAGGCCGTGTGCATGCTCCTATGCATGTGCGTGCAGCTAGTTTAGTGCGTGACATGGACAGGATCCCGTCCAGGGATACAGACACAAGTCTGGCTGAACACAATAAGCAACCAACCCACATCTATTGACAGCAACAATCAAAGCACTCGCTACCTACCCATGTACATCGTAGCCTGTCCCTGATGGCCACCCCGAGCCCGACCTGCGCCAGATCCCTCCCCGCTTCAAGTATACCCACCTCCCACCTCCCCAGGATCCCTCCCCCGCCCCTCAACCCGCCGCTCACACACGTCGTGGTCAGCTTGCAGCAGCCCTCCGCCAGGCAGAGCAGACAGCGCAACAACGGCACGAGGAGCACCTGCAGCGAGAGATCGCCGACGTCGAGAGGGCCATCGAGCAGACCAAGAACGAGTCGGTCGACGTCAACAGCATCGCCCTCCCCAGGGGGCTGCACAGAGCCAACACTCACCAGGATGGGAGCGGATGGGTTGCACAGCATGCGGGGTGTCAGCGTTATTTCGGCAATGACCTGAACGACGGAGAGAGGAGGGCGCTGCTTGCGGCCCTGAAGTGCAGGAAGCGGCACCTGCAGGGCCACGGGTGTCCCAAATGCAATGACGGGGGGAGAGGGTGGGAGGAGTTCCAGAAACAGGAGAATCAGAGGCTGAAGGTCAAGCGCATCGACAGATTCATCAAGGAGGTCGAGGCCGGACGTGAGGTGACTCTTCCCAATGGGATTGGAGTTCACAGGCCGACTTACTCTAAGACCACATGGGTACGAACAGAAACACATCACGTGCATTCGTGGAAATCCGACCCATCAGTCGTATCATACTGTTTGCGTGCAGCGCATGTCCCACAAGGCGCCCGGTCGACCGCAGTGTCGGATTCCGTTCACTTACGGCACGGTCGACTACCCCACCAGCATGGACGCCCTGCTCGCGGCTCTCCAGTGCAAGCGGCAGCACCTGGTGGATGGTCAGTGCGTCGAGTGTGCGCAGCCGGCTGACATGCATGATACCGAGGAGGCCGAGGAGGCGGGGCCCCAGCTCACGGGCCGTGATGGGCGGCAGCTTGCGGCCATCAATGCTGCACTCGGGGTGATCAAGAACGGCGAGGTGCCGCCTCTCAAGGGGACAGGTCTCATTCGATACAAGTACCCATCACCATTACGCTGTGATGAAGCACATGCGCAACAAAAAAAAGTGCAGAGAGGCATTTCCGTGGTGCACCCAGTCTGGCAAGCTGGAAGCAATTCGGGACGCTCTTGTGCTCAAGTACGACCATGTGTCGGGCACGAAGTGCTGTCAATGAGATTAGTCGCGCAATTACTTTCTATGTATGGTCCACTGTGATGGTGGGTCGTTTGTGCGCGCAATGGAGAAATTTTCCCGTTCTAGGCCCTTTCGATTCTTTACGTAGACATATGTGTAGATGGACATATATAGTAGGGTCAGGTTTGCCCCGGCATGTCGATAGCGTCAATCAGTCGGTCGACAAAGACTGTGCTCATGTATGCTAATCTACTTTTTCCGAAACAGCTTCTGTGCGATGGGATGATCTGCTATATGGCCTCCTTTCATCGTATACACGTTGGCTTCCACCTTCTGGAACAGGCACCATGCTAGCTTTCCGACTTTTTCCTTATCAAAGCCACGCACCACAATGAGATCCCCTTTCTTGCCTAGCTCCACCTTGGCATCCCCAGCGCTCCCCTTGGCGATGCGGGTGCAGTCCATGGCCTTGACTCCGACACCAAGACGAATCATCAGATGCGGATAGTCGGGCTCCCAATAAGCCTTGACTCCCCTACCATGCAGCACTATCTGCACAGCCCATCCGCGAGTCTGTCGGTGGAGGGCGTTCTCGATCGTGTGCGTCTGCACCTTCCTCGGGTCAACGGATCCCACCATGCAGAGGTCCTCATTGTCAGTCCTCATGTGGTACATCGTCTGCGGGTACTTCTGGTTTCCTCGGAAGAAGTATTCGCCTCCCAGGTGAGCCACCACTCCCGGCCACTTCATCCAGTGCTGCTCGCGGGGCCAAGGGGAAGATCTTTGCTTGGGCAGCTCAGTCCATCGGTGGTTGGTGTGAGTTTCAGTCTCGCCGAAAAATTCGTTGACGCCCCACTTGGCTACGCCGCGTTGCTGTTGATGAATGGCAGATGAACAGGGGGTCATACGACGCGGCAAAAGCGTCCCACGACATAAGGACCTCATCCGACAAGTGGAGTGCCTACCCTTCGGGTAGGCGTGTCCGTAAAACAGTAGAAGGGATTGCCAATGTATCGTTTTCTTTGTTCGGCTGCCGAACGACATGCGGATGGCATCAGAAGCGAGACCATGCTGTCTAGTTTTGCTTAACCAAAACAGCTGTCGCATACGCTGCCTACACACATCGGAATTCCGTGCGGAAAAAACCCCGGTTTTAAAATTCATAGGTTGGTTGGTTGGTTAAGGGTTTGACGAGACACCTGTCCCTAAGCCCGGCGCTACCTTCCGGCGCAACCAGGCATCTTCTCTGTCCACAGCACACACCAAACAGGCAACAGGCACATGCAGAATGCATGCACAAGGCCTATCTGCCCTTCCCATGGAGCAGTGGGTGCTAGTCTGACAAGTCAGCGTCAAGCACCCACTGCTCCATCTCATGCAACTCATATATGAAGTCATACTCACCATCAAACTGACTGGGTGGGAGAGATGGATTGAGTGCAAGCCAGCGAGC